TGTCCCAGCTGCCAATGGAAGAAGCCTAGCAATTCTCTAATTGAACCATAAGATTTTGGAAGGTCAGCAAAAGAAAACCATCCTGGCTTTCCAAGGACCAGGTGTGTTGTTTATGGAAACAATTATGTGCTTCCCAGCTGATTCTACCTAGAAACCGAGAAAGACAGATTAGTGACAAGAAAAGCAATTCTGTTTCGTCTCTGTTGCTTCTGCATGACCTCCTTTTTCTTCCCCTCTACCACGCTTGGACACATTTCTAACTGTAGCCAGTTCCTGAACATGGGCAGCGATAACCCTTTGCAAGGGAGAATAAGCAACAAAAGAGCCTGCCTTGTAGTTAGAAGCTTCTGGGACAGGCTCCAGGAAGGAGAAGTAGGGCCTTCTTGGTGGGGAGAAACCCCTGGGGCCCGGCAGCCTTTAGCACCTGGGATGCTTCGGCACAGACACCTCAGCAGAAGAAGTCTCTGTTCTTCAGGGAACAGACCACATACTTTCTCAGAAGCAAACCACTGAAGGCCCCACTTTATCTAGTTAATTTCCAATGGCTGCAAACAGCTCGGTTCTCCAGAGACTAAGCCATAATGACAGATGGCATGTGTGCCTGTCATGATCTATCTTCTTCTGTCTTTGCTGACATTTTGTAAAGTATGTGTCTTGTGCTCACTCTCTGAAAGAGCTCTCCTTGAGCTGTGACCAGAGTTGAAGGCAAGAAACCATCTCCTTGGTACGTCCATCTACATAAAAGGTATATTTTTACAAATAATTGTTTTATCTGATTATCTTTCAATGTATGCAGATAAAGGAACTCAAGTCAGTGACCCTCAGAGAGGCTTTGAGGAACCCCAGGACCTGGAAATGTACATCACAAAAACTTTGTATGAGAAGAGAGTGTATATAAGAAGCAAGTTATATTATAAAGGAGCCAAAACCATAAACAAGCAAGGCCGAACTGTTTCTGTCCAGTAGCGTGGCTCTCTGCAGGGCATCGCCACGTTCAGCAAGGCTGAGCATGGTTCAGGACCTGAGAGCCCCCAGTCTTTAATTTTATGAGGCATTTCTGGTAGCCCTGATTACAAGTGTCCATTTCTTGTCCCCTCCACACGACCCAAGGAAAATTAGATCAGTTATATTAACAACAACAACAAAAAGCAATAAAGTAAGCAGTGACTTTTGGGAACAAGGTGTAAACAGTGGATTTTAACCAAAAATCTCTTCCAGATGGGGGAGACGTAATGTCAAGTAATTCTGAATTCTTTTTAGAACTTGAGGCCAGGAAGGACAGAGGAAAAGGATCTAGCACAATACTAGAGCTTCTGAGATTCAATCCATTATTTGTCAAGGTCTCGTTATTTTGGGTTTATCCAAGTTACCGTATTTGATCTTGGTTCCAACACTGTGAGGTTGATGTCATTATATTCAATTTGTAGATGGGAAACTGGACCCTGATGATGTCATTTTACCCCTCTGGGCCTCAGATAATTAAAAAAGCAGGGCACTCAAGTTTTATTGAGAATCTGAGTCTCCAAATAAACTGAACACTAGCAGAGGCTCTCTTTTGTTTTTCATATACGATGTCCCACTGGTTCCTCTCTGAATGAACCTGTATCTCATAATGATATACAGCCTGAAAACACAGAGGCAAAGAGCAATTTAACTCTGCTACTGTAAAGTTAGCAGTCATTAAACTAAGTTTAAGGGACAGCGAGAGGCAGTAGTACTTTGGGAGGTAATCGTTGGACTACATGGCCCCTCTGGCAGTACCACTGGACCAGACGAGAGAATTTGGCAGGATCTGGGGTGTGAGTCAGGATGAGGCGTTCCCATTGCTTATGTTTGCTCTCTGGCCTTCTTCCCTCTGAACAAGGCCAAATGCTTTGAAAGGAGAGCAGCGCGGTGTGTGAAGCTGGGGCCTGGCAGCTGTCTGTTGAGCAGCCTTATTTCGGTCCAGTGAGGGAAGTGTGGGCATCAGGTCATGGGCAACTAGACCAGTGCATCAGCAGGGCAATGGCATGTGGAGGGTCGTGAGCCACTGAATGATGAGCCCACTCGGGAAGTTAGCTTCTAAAGCGTCCTGGACATTGTAAATACGGGGGCCACGTTGTCATATCCATCAGGCTCTCGACTGACTCTCAATGCTGGGCAGTCCAATCAGTTTTGCATTTGCTGGGGAGGTGCGTGGTAGAAAGAATACCGCCCTACAGTAAAGAGGACATGGATTCTATCTTCAGCTCTGCACTAATTTGCTGTGTAGCCTTAGGGAAATCACTTTCCTCTCTGAGTCTCAGTTTATCCCTCTACAGAAGAGAGTTCTCTCAAGTACTCCTAAGTACTAGTCATCTCTCTATAATTTTGGAATTGGCAGTATGCTTTTCACGTCTCTGGAAATCACAACTAGCCGGTAAGGCAGGCCATAAAGCGTTTTCCTTTTACAAATAAGGAAACTATGGCCTAGAACGACTTGCTAAAAGTCAGAGATCTCCTAATTCCTGGCTTAATACTTGTTCCAAGGCACAATCCATCACCACCCTGACTCATACTGTGATTTGTTTTAGGTAACTCAATTGGGCAACTCTCCCACAGTTGCAGCTGTTGCCCAGGAGGAAATGAGCAAATCTGGAAGCTGTTCTCACTTCTGTAGATTAACGTGCCTTGTATCACGGTAACAGGAGCCAGGGGAGGTGACTTTTACCTGTAACTCTCCCTGAACTATTTTAGTGGCAGATAGAGCAGTTATTCTTGAACTTTAGTACACATGAGAGTCCTCAGAGAATCTGCTTATGATGCTGATAGCTGGGCTCTAGCCCCAGAATACTTCTGCAAGCTTACTTCTCCAGTCTAGAACTGCCTTAGAGAAGACAGTTCTGATGCAGACTGTCCTCAACACTGGTGAGAGACCCTGCAGAGAACTAGCTACAAAGCCAATCACACCCTCTGCCGTCTGCTTTTGCCTGCCTTCTACTGAGAAATCTGACAGGCCTATGCTGGTGGTGGATACAGAGGCTATATGCATAGCATGACTTTGCCCAAATGAACCAACTGATTCACACTGTTTTACCACTTTATTTCACGTTCTTCCTCTTTACTCTGGTGGAGCAATTTTATCAACCGGGACATAAAATTAACATGGGAAGAACTCAGATCTCATGGAAAGCGAAAACGAATTCTCCTTTGACTTGGGATAGGACTACTAGACACTTCACGGTATTGGAGAAGTTCAAAACCATTAAAAATCCCTTAAAGATGTCTAGGCACTTTATGTTATAAACCACTGGAGTTCGACCCCAAAACTCACTGCTTCTTTTAGAGGTACCATGTGACATTCTCAATCTTTGAGGAAGGTACTTACATAATGTAAATTGTTTTAAAAGGTGAGTATAACTCAAGAAAAGTTATATCAAGAACGATACACAATTTTTAAATACATTCACAAATTGAAAGAAAACCACCTTTGTTTAATCCTATATCTTCAACTGAGTTCAGAAAATATGATTCCAGAGTAGTCAGTCAGTATCCAAAATATGGGAGCAAATTATTGACCAAAACTTCTGGTTTCTTGGGTTTCTGGGATCCATGGAAATTTATCATATATTTTGAACAATAAATTATTAAAACTCTAACTTGCAGCCCTCATTCTAGGCACTTAGTTCACATTCCATTATTAGCTAATGTACAAGACCGCCAGTTACACCTCCTTCCAAATTCCTTACTTGGTGTAGGAAAGAGATTTGTTGCTGGTTTGATGCTTCAAACAGCATAAAAAAGGTTTAAAAAAAGGATATATGTCATGTTGGTTTCCTCTCCTCTTTTCATTTCTCCTGTTGAAATCTTTAAGACCTGAGCTGGAGTCCCACCTCTACCACTCACTGGGAGCTTGTGTCGAACTCAAAGGCCTTGGGGTCACCAAGACTTCTGCTCATTTGAGATGGGAAACTTGGATACTGATTCAAATGGGCCATCTAATGTAAGTTCCCCATGGGGGTCACAGAAGCTGAGTAGGTAGAAGAGGTTGAACTATTGTTCTCAATTCTTCTTACCCTCCGTAGATCGGAATTATATATCCACACCTTTTGCCATGTAATTTAGTAATGCTTTGCCCCGGAGTCTATTTCCCTAGCTCACTGATGTTGAACATGGCCATATGGTTTTCTTTAGTTAATGGAACGTCAGTGACAGTAAATAGAGGGGCCATCTGGAGCCACACCTTGGAGGATAGAGTATGCTGCTGGCCTCACCTGGAATTCTGTAATCCACCATGAAAATAACATGCCCTGGGTAGCTGCTGGTCTCAGAATGATGACAACTCATGGAACAGACTTCAAACAACTGAAGCCTGCATCCAAACTCCTAGCCCAGGAGAGCCTGGTCAGTCCCAACGGAGCTCACCCAAATCACAGCCAACCTGAAGACTCACAAGCAAAACATCAGTATATGTTGTCATAAGCTAGTCGTTTTTTTTTTTTCTCCCATGGAGCATTATTGCAGCCATAGTCGAATAATACAACAGATCAAGACAACTGCCCAGAGAGAGAACTCTCAGCCAGGTATATAGCTTTGATGTACAAAAATACATTTATTTTCAACAATTTCAAAACCACTGTCTGTTTTTTTTTTTTTTTACAGTAGAAATATTCAAATGGAACGATAAAACCAAGAACAGTATATGTACATATACTGTATATATAGATACGACTCATGCATTTGTATTCCAGTGTTTAGTACAAGTATTGCAATTGTCTGCCCCATTTAACCCTTGAAACGAAAAAGCAAGATCTTTAGAAATATTCCTAATTCTGATCTATGATGTAGCCAGTCCGATTTCTCAAGGTCACATTCTCTCAGGGTCTCACAGAGAAGGATGTGAACAATATCCCACAAAAATGAACAGGTAAAAAATTCAGCCTTTTCTCCCATATATATATATATATATATATATATATATATATATATATATATACAGTGTATCATTTTTATAAAACAAGTACGCTCAGGCTGATCCTGAAAAGAAAACAATGCTTACAGCATGGCTTAAAGTGACCCTCCTAAAAAGAACTGACACATGAACCGTGTGAACGGGCTGGGGTGCAGGAAAAGAGAACACTGGCTTTGAAAGTCACTCGCCCCAGATGCTAGAACTGCCTTCAGGGAACTGAAGGTAGACATCTGACTTTAAGGAAGTTGTGTACTTGTGTACATCTGACGAGCAAGCGGCACAGCTCTGCGAGAATCAACTTTGACTAAGATCGTTAGAGGTTACACCCCTCTGGGGCCTGCAGGGTCACAGGATCCCACGAAGGCCAACTCCCTCCCACCTCTAACTTCTCCCAGGCTGAGGCACTCACTGGGCTTAACCTAGTGCCCAAGGGACTTTTCTGGGGTAAGAAGAGCCAGAGAATTCCCCATAAGCATTATTCAATTCCATGGAATCCAACCGGAAAACAGAACGTCATCTTTTTAGATCCACTGCCTGGCTTCTTTAGAGAAAACCTCAGGCCGATAGCTATCCTCAACCTCATCCTTTTGGAGGGGAAGCCTTGTTTCCCCATATGGGTTTCAGTTAGAAGTCTGTAGTGGGCTTCCTCTGGCAACTTCTTTCACATCACTGATGGGACAAAAAAAACACCCAGGTTCTATGATGTCTCTCTCGTCCTTCCTTTGCTAGGCGTTTCAAAGAAGCCCTTCCCCCTCCCCCCTTTATATACAGAAATAGAAACCAGCGATGGCAGGGACACAGAGATGCAAGAGTTAAGTGTGACAGACAACTGGAGAGCATCCAGAACCCAGCGTCAAGCAGGCCTGGGGGTGGGTCAGCTCTGAAGGTGAGTGCATAAGCCAACAGACGCATCTTTCTTTTTTCTGTTTTCTTTTTTACTAAACATTAAATTATTTCTCAGGAAATAAAGAGCTACTTACATTGTAACTATATACAATAAGCCATCTGCAGCTTGCAATGGACATGCACGGGGCAGGGCCTCTTCCGACAGGTGTGCACGCTTCCTGCAGCTACGCTCACTCCCCACCAACCTTCCTCCTGCAGACCTAACTGGGAAATGGTTTACGTTTTAGGTGCGTGCTGGGAGGGAGGAGGCGGGTACTGGTGATTTGGGCTTGTGTCGGGGGGAGGATGGGAGGTTAGTGGAAAGCCAACCCAACTTAAAAAATAAAAAGAAAGACAGACCGCAAGGAAAACAAGATTCCTCGCGCTATCAATGGCAGAATGAAGCAAGAAAGCCATGGGAAGATGCATCCTTTGCCCTTAGCACAAATACAGCCATTTATCCTTTGTGTCTCATTTTAATCAGTTACGAATGCCTTCGCCTCCCAAAGCGAAGCGTCTGCCTGCTGTTTATGAAGGGGCCCTTGGTAAACAAAAGGTAAAAAAGACATTTTCATTTTTCCATAATAAGTGTAATAGGAACCATCAGAAATAAAAAGTCAGAAAGATGGTTGACCACGTGGCTTGTTGGTATTAAACACTAGTGCAGTTGGGGATCTCCTTTGTGCTTTCGCTGTTTGCAATGGTGGCAATGCCTCCTGCAGGGGAGAGAAGACAGAGGGAGGTAAGGATGTACCTGTCACAAGGGCGTGGGTCTGTGCTTTCTTTATTGCTAAATACCAAGCCACCTTAATGTGTGCTTACGAAATAGGGCACCTGGGTAGTCTATCATACCAGTTCACTGGCTTATCTTACCTATGTTTAACGTTTGCCATCTCCCACCCCAGCACACAAGGTAGGAGCAATACCTTGCCATCTTATACTCTGCTGATCACAATACTAATAGCCAACAGGTATTGAACACGTATTATGTAGCAGACACTGTGCTAATGATATATGTCATTTCACGATCACAACAATCTTAGAAGGCAGATACTATCATTCCCATTTCACAGATGAGGAATATGAGGCACAGAGAGGTCCCGGAGCTAGAAGATTGGTAGAGCAAGAAAATGAATCCAGGGCTATCTGATGGCAGAGTTCCTATTCACGTAATTATTGGGACGTATAATGCTTTTGCTTTATAGAAAAAATAAAGAGAAAGTCCAACAGTAATAGTTGGCCTCATCCCTCTCCCACTCAGACTCCAGCACTTTTGATCTTGATCTACTTCTAAGAGAAGAAAGTTCTGCCAATTTCAGGTGGTCAGAGGTGGCGGACACTTTAAAGCATGATTATGTCGCTGTAGCCAACTGGTTTCTCCCCCACCCTCCAGACTAGTCCTGCCTGAAGGACAGGACACATGGGCTGGCTGACTCAGGGTCTGGAGAACAGAGGATTCAGGAGCCTGGTGACACCAGCACACATACCTATGACCCGGGTGTCCAGCTCTTTGTCCAGCAGCTCCTCGGGCTCGGTGAAGTCACTGAGTGTGATTTTGGGGGCGTTTTCACTTTGGCTCACTGACCCAATCATCTCCTGCTCCTTTTCGTGTTGGACTTGAGCATAGATGTTAATCCAGGGGATTTTCCTACATGGGGCAGAGCAAAATCAGATTACGATCACGGGGCATGCCCGACTGGGGCAACTGGGAAATCCTGGGTGTTAAGGTGGAGGAAGAAGCTATTTACAGGACCAATGTCAGGGAAAGGGGCTGGCCACCCAGATACTGTCCCCATGAGGCCAATGAACACAAGGAGAGACCCAGATGCCCAGGGGAGATGTAAGCCACAGAACTCCCGGAGACATGCACCTTCTTCTGAGGCACAAAACCAGCAGGTGTAAACAGAAGGGCAATGCTATCGACCAAGTGTGCACTAAAACCCTTAAAACATTTACCAGTTATTACGTTTACAAAGGGGCTGGACTTTGAGACTCATGAGGTTGTATCATAGTGAAAAGACAGCTTTTTCTAAGTTTGTATCAGTTTCGTCAGTTCACATTGGTTTTCTTTATGAATAGCCAAGAAATAAAAGACTTATAGCCATTGCTACCATTTTTAGAACACCATCCATGGGCCAAGTATCTTAAATACTTCCATAGTCAGTTTCCTCATCTGTTCAATAGGAATGACAATAGCTTTCTTTTAGGATCGCGGAGAGGATTAAGGCAAGGATTAAGAGAAGCTAAATAACTTCCTTCAAAGACACAAAGGTAGGAGGTTTGGAAACAAGGCATACAGACTTGAGGTAGGAGGAGCAGGTAGGTTCAAACTGAAATCTGCTTGGAGTATTCATCTCCTGACCCATCTCCATCATCTCCTGACCCACTGTGTTCCAGCTTCTGTAGCCTCCTTTGACTTCTTCTAATCCTGTGCTTCTCAAACTTCAATATGCTTATGCCTCACCAGGTTCTTGTTAAAATGTGTTTGTTACTCTATAGGCCTGAACTGGATGGGTTGAAATTCTTCATTTCTGCCTAGTTCCCAGGTGGTACTGATGCTGCTGGTCTGAAACCCAAACTTTTGAGTTTCAAGATTTTGATACATCAGACTTGTCCCCACCCTGGGGACGAGGGGTGAAGCAACTGTTCCCTCTGTAACACACCTCCTTCTACTCTCCTCGTGACGGTGTCCTTCAGAATTTGGCTTACATGTCACTTCTGAGAGGCCTCTCCTGACCACCCACTCTCTCCCATCATAAATATGTAATTATGGGATGGGTCTATGAAAGAAACGAATAGGGTGTTGGTTTAGGGTGATGGAATAGGCTATGTGTGTGGACTTGTTTTCTGTCTTTCTCTCCCACAAAAAGCCCCGTGTCTGCAAGGTCTACATTTTCCATTTTCACTGCTCTACACTTAACTTAGCACAGTGCTTGGCATGTGGTTTACGTTCAGTATTTGTCAAATAAATGAATAAATGACCTCAAAGCCTATGCTCTTTCTATTTTCATATATTATGTTCTCAAACAAAAACAAAATGGATTTGGATCCATTTGCCCTTATAAAGACTGTTCACTTTATTTTAATCTCTGAAAACGGGCATTTTTTTTTCAATATTTTTAATAGATGGTTGGAAGGGAATGAATTTTATGTCACATTTGCAGCATTTAAAATTTTTTTCAAATTGCTTTTTATTTCTTAAAACATCCACTTTTATCTTAGAATTTTACAGGTAGAAGAGCCCTCTCTTACCTCATTAAATGATGGGGAAATGGGTCTGAAATCCAGACATTTCATGAAGCTGATTACTGGCATAGATGTTATTAAAACTTGAGACATCTGACACCTACCCCGAACCAGAACGTTCTGTGCAGAATCACTCTGTTGCCCTAGTGCCAACCAGTGGTATTTTCAAGCATCTACATTCCCTTCCCTACTCCAACCCCACAATGAGGTAGAATGTGAGGCATTTAACAAGGTCTTCCATAGCTAATTTGGAAGGAAAGATCCCCAAATATGTTTAAAACATGGACAGTTTCTACTTTTCATTTATGTCCAGTTTTCGTGTTTTTAACGGCTGCTTTCCATACATTAAGGGAGGTGTCCTCCTGACTCCTACTGGTCTAAACCTGCTTACTATAATTTACAAGAACCTTAAGTGAAGAGATTCTATGTGAGGCAGCAAACCGCAGGCTCCTCTAAATGTGTGTAATTAAAATTTCACGCTGGCCCTTAATTTCTTCTTATCTAAATAGAAAGGCAGCCTAACGACTTAGATTTCTTCTGATCATAAAAGTACATACTACTCATGAACGTTGGGATCAACTGTAATATCTATTAGGTGCTGGGGGCAGTCAAACCATTCCTGATCACACAAGTCTGGGTACTTCAGAGCTGTAGCCAGAGGTCACTGCCTCCCCTTTCCTGCTTTTTTAATGATTGATACCTGTGAGGATTTGGATCCATTTGCCCTTATAAAGACTGTTCACTTTATTTTAATCTCTGAAAACGGGCATTTTTTTTTCAATATTTTTAATAGATGGTTGGAAGGGAATGAATTTTATGTCACAACTTGCAGCATTTAAAATTTTTTTTCAAATTGCTTTTTATTTCTTAACACATCCACCTGTAGGACCGTTGAGACAATAAGTCAAGACTAAACCCCGCTTTTGCAGATAAGAAAGGTGGGAAATGAGATTTACAGGCACGTCTTGGGCTATACATTCATGTAAGTTTTAATAAGAGGAGTAAGATGGATCAATCCAAGTCACCTATATAAATTTCAGTTGTTTTTGTTTTTTTGTTATGTTTTGTTTTGTTTTGTTTTGTTTTTGCGGTACGCGGGCCTCTCACTGTTGTGGCCTCTCCCGTTGCGGAGCACAGGCTCCGGACGCGCAGGCTCAGCGGCCATGGCTCATGGGCCCAGCCGCTCCGCGGCATGTGGGATCTTCCCGGACCGGGACACGAACCGGTGTCCCCTGCATCGGCAGGCGGACTCTCAACCACTGCGCCACCATGGAAGCCCTAAATTTCAGTTTTTATTTGTTTGTTCCAACTATGATTAAGTATTAGAAGTCCGTGGGAGGAATTTAGAAAAAGCAAAGTAGGCTTCGCACTGTGATGAAAGCCTTACTGAAAAAAGGCTGGAAGAAATATAAAATTTCAAAACTTTTCTTGGATAATAAGAAAAAACAAACGTACAGTATAGAAAGAAGGTCTTGTTAGGAAGAGTTTTCAGAAAATAAAAGCCATCTCAAAATGATTTTTAATTATATTGACTAAGACATCACAAAATAGAAGTCACTATCCAAGAATAGGATCAAATGTGGTCACTTAACAGAGGAAGGAGAACAGAGTTCCCGTGATCCCCAAGATTCCTTTAAATAATTCTGTTCTTCCTCTATTAAGTGACTACTTGGGACACTGAGATTGTTTTCAGTGCCTGGCACACAGCAGGTGCTCAATAAATGTTTGCTGAATAAATTAATGGCTTAATGAATTAATGCTGGAGATGGCAGAGAGAAAGTTTTGGGGTTTGAAAACAGCATGGCCAGTGATCTGGAAACAGAAACAGAATTACCCCCTCCCTAGCCTGTGCCATCAGTGTTTACTAGTCAGCTGTAGCTATTTAAATTTGAATTAATTGAAGTTAAATAAAATTAAAAATTCAGTGTTTCCACCATACCAGTGGCTACTGTATTGGACAGTATAGATTATGGAGTGTTTTCATCTTCGCAGAAAGTTCTGTTGGACAGAAATGAAAGAAGCAGAGGAGACTCTAGGAATCATGGATAACAACCCGAACTTTACTTGTCAGCAAGCTATGCACCCTCCACATAGCCATCACTGGAGTTCCAGGTGGTGAGGAGGGAAAGGAGACCAAAGAAACAAAGGGAGATCCAAAAGGACCTCAGCCAAAGGGCTTGGGCACTGGGAGGAAAACTTCCAGAAAAGGTGGCTAAAAAAGAAAAGGTAACTGATGACTGGTTAATTGACTCAAACCGTTTATCCAGTTTGACTAGTATTTGTTTCCTGTATCCTGATTCCCTGCCAGGGACATACAAAGGGTCGGCTGATATCTGGGGACAACAGAGGTAGAATAATTCAGAGATGCCATTAACTGGCATAGATTCAAGTATTAAAGTCTGCACATTAAGAGATGGCGACATTAGTAGGTTGACTGTCTATGGAGTTTAGCAACATTTACAAGACAGCAGAAAACTTTCTAAGTCACAGGGCAGATCTTGTCTTAATTTGGAGACACCTGACACGAATATCTCTTTGCAGGACTTCTATTGGCCCTGGTCCTCAGCGAGATGCAGGTCTAGGAGCCGGAAGGTGATACATTTGGGTTAATTGATCTTCAAGTCCCAGCAACCACCAGGCTTCCCCACAACCAAATCCTTGAATGAACAAAAGTGTGCTTTGTGTGTAACTGAAGTACACCCATAAATGGGTGTTGCTTTGACCAGACTGTTCCTATACTGAATCTTTGCTCGCTCATTGGATATGAAGGCTTTTCCCCTTCTTCAAAGGGAACATGGCAGGTGGGTTGACCCATCTTGATCCAAGAGGATGTGAACTCACATAACTGGTCTATAAATTGAACAGAAAGGTAAACCCCACTCTGTCCTTCTAGTGGAGAGTGTTTAAGAATTCCTGCTGTTTTGGCTAATGCTGAGATGTCTATTGAGTAAAACTGGTGTTTTTAAGCCTGAGAAATCCACTAGAGGAGAGCTGATGGGGGCTGGGGGCGGGGGAGGTAGAGTGAAGCACCTTTACCACTGATCTCTTCCAAAATCTAAAAGCATTACCTTCAGCGTCTAGAAAAACTCCCAGGACCAAGTTATACTTTCAAAACTCATCTGACAATAATTAATGATATTTTTACTTTACCCGGGCTTCCTATGAAGCGCATTTCTATGCCACTGACACGTCTGAGCCCTACTATGTGCCACTTTGTAACAGAGGAGAAGCCTTTGGGAGGCATATTATTTATAGCAGCTTAGCTTTTGTGATTTTTTATTATGTACTAGATATAGATATTACTACCTTGAAAACATATAGCAAACCCACAAAGTATTATTTATTTTCCATTTTACACATTAGGAAATGAGGGCTTAGAGAGGCAAATTCAATTGCCTAAGGCTGCAAATGTTGAAAGTTAAAATTGGGTCTGATTTTCGAGTTCATACTCTTAACCAGCATATCTCTTGGTAGATGTATTACATTATTCAATAATGGTACAGAATTATTGATTTCAATTTCTTGTCTTTAATAAGTATCCTATTACATCACCCCACCTCTGGCCTGCAAAAATAACTTTTGAATACCTGTGGGGTTTGGTTTTCCTGATCAATTTCCCTCTAGAAACAGGAAAAATAGCATAGGGAGGAGTATAAAATTGTATATTTTGGCATGCAAATTTAAACAGATGTTGGATATCAGCAATACAAGGTAAGAAAATATGTGTGTGTGCATATATACATAACCAGATTTCAGCTGTATTTTCTCCACTTAACCACCCTGAATGGGTGGTAAGCTGTAGAAAAAGGTCTCTTAAATATTTGAGACCTTACTTTAGAAACTTAGGTGAGGTCTGAAAACCCCTCAAACTTCTCTTGAAGAGAATTAACTGATTTCATAGGCTACGCCTCATTTTCCTAACTCAACATAATTATAAACTGGAGAGCGTTCAGATTCTTCAGCTCCTTTATTCCCTGACCCTAAACCATTCCTGTTCTTCGCCAATGCCAAGCAGAGCTTCAGGGACAGTTAAAATCACCTGTTTAGGATGAGTTTAGGAATGTCGGTTACAGGAGGAATCAGCTCCCATGAATCTAGCCTCACGATTAAAACTGAGTGATGGTAGCACATACCTTTTAAATTTGTAGATCAAAAACACAGCCAGGCCGACAAACACCACTGACAAGAGCATAAGCATGGCTGAGCTGCTGTGCCCAGCACTGGAGTCCACCAGTGGAGCTAGGAAGAAAGAACAGACTTGCTCACTTGGAAGCTATTAGCTGGAGGGAGTATCTGTTGGAGAAAGGAAGCCAGCTGGTCTCCATCCTTATATCCAGCCTCCAACTGTCCTGCATGCTATCTGGGCAGAGGAAGCTTGGCTTCAATGATGAGAATGGTATCCCTGATCTACAGCTTCTTAGGGATCTGCTCTGCCTGGGGAAACTTGCTGCTCCTTGTGTAAACTGTACACAGCTAAGGCGAGTAGGAATAGGGCTTGAATGTTCTGTCTCTTAGACAGCCCAGTTGCCTGTCAACATGATTATAGGTGGCCCATTGGGAACTCCGGATTAAACACTGATGGAGTGTTTCAATCTCTTCCTCTATACTGTTGTGGTAAAACACTGCTGGATGGGTACATTTGGAATCTCCTCATCTGAAAAGTTTTTATTAATTAGAAACATTTAGCACATAGGCTTTCCCAGAGAGCCAGAGGTGGATGCCCAATGGGACATGCCTTTTTTAATCCTTTCACAAATCAACCACCTAAAGCTGGTCACTTTTTCTACTTAGAGTTACACATTATAAATCAAAGAGAGTTTTAAAGTTATTTGATCTAGTCTTCCAACCAAGATTCACTGAATCAGAGAATCCTAGAAATTAAGAGAGCCTGAGGACTACCTCATATAACCCCAACTGTTATAGATAAAAAACATAATAAAGTCCAAAGCCCAAAGAAATTGTAGGTTTTTCCCCAAGATCATCCAGGAATTCAATAGCAAAGCCGCTTCTAAGAAAGTCTTCTCGCCACCTTAACAGGAAGCCTCAAGAAAGATGTGATTAATCTTTCTTTGCCATCATTACACAAAGCCATTTACAGGCATTTATGGAAAAGTGTTTGGTAACTATCTCCTCCCTTGTCTCTCCAGGATATCAGAGCACCATACTCATCCCCACCCCCCAACCACCACCACCACGAATCCCAACAGGCACTCACCTAAAGTCAGCTGCGTGACATACACAATGACTTGAATCCCTGGCTTCAGCTCAAACTGGACTAAATTTTGGTTTAGAGCGTTAAACAGTGTCTCTACAATCTGGGGAGGAAAAAAAGGGAGAGAGAGAGAGAGAGGCTGCATGGGAAGAAATGTCATGTGACGGTGCTCCCTCATGGAATAAGAAACCAGGGTCAATAGGCAAAAAATGACCATGTTCACTCAGAGGACAGGATTTTGGAACATTTTTATCCATTTGGCTCTCCCAGCCCCTAGAGCCCTGTGAAGCCAAGGACACAGCTGGTATTATTTGCCTATACTGGAGAGGAGAGTAAAACAGAGAGAGGCGTGTCCACAGTCACCTAGTGAATTCGAGTTGACAACAGACATAGAGGTTCCATTCAACTCCCAGTTCAGTGCCTTTTAAGCCTGTATAACTTTCCATAGAGAGACCTGTTGTGGGTCCCAATGAAAGAAAGTCAACTGACCAACCGTTAGTTCTTTAATCTGAACAAGCAATATTCACAGGGTAGCGAAGCCCCTGCCAGGATTAAAGCAGGTACATACACCCCAGCCCACTCCTCTGCTGTTTCCCTTTTAGAGACAATGGGAGGCAAACATTAAAGGAGAAGCTGCCTCCTTTTTAGGGATAATTCTTCCTCTTTACTTTTCCCCAGCAAGTCTCAGAACGCGTAACATTGATTTAATCACTGTGTAATTCCCACGTGGAAGCTGAGGCAGACTGAGGCTGTTGTCCCTAACTCTTATCTCGCTGTTCGCGCCTTAATATCACAGCTGCTATTCATCACCGTAATTACCTATTTATCTAAATGGATGGATATCGTAGCTTCCAAATATAGTTCGCACATGCCACTTCCTATTTCAGAGTAAAGAGGTCTTGTAAAAGCGATGAACGCATTGAGAAGCTGAATTTATATCTGGCCAATCTCAATATGCAGCCCTTCAATGAAAGGATCCGCTTCATTTTCCAGAGAAACTGACCATGATGGCACCTGTGCAGCTCGCAGAGGACTGTGGATGGATGTGGGGATGGGGTGACGGCCAGGTGAGTAGCAGAGGGATGCGGAAGACATCTGTACAACGATTAACTCGTATGGGAGCAAATGTGTTTGATTCGCGCTGATTTTCAGCAGCCTCCTTCTCACTTATTTCTACTTCTAACTCAGCATCACAGGAGCATGGAAGGGTAAAGCAAAGCACGGCCAGTTAAGACCCCAGCAAGGGCAGGAAGAGAAGGAGAACCATGGGACCACCACTGACTTCATTTCTAGGCTAGTACGCAGATCACAAGAACTCTATGCCATTTGCTAAGGACAGTCAATCACGATCCCTTTTGGGAATGCTGCTTCCTTAGTCAAAGCAAGATGAGGCAATCCACCTCTTTCCAAAGACACTTGTTTACAACCAGTTCGTTTTCTTCCTAGAAGCAGAACTTCTATTGACTAGGATCTTTAAAGACAGGAAGCACATTTTCCCAGAAGTATATAGGGAAACTCAAATTCCTCTCTTCATCTCTTTTCCCCAGAGCAAGTCATTGGGTGGGAGACATGAGCAAGTTGCAGGAATGGCAACTGTCGGAATGAATGACTTCAGGGGTACTCTTCTTGCCTGTGTAGCTGAATGCTCCAGTATTTATGCATTTGTGTTTATTCTAGGTAAGGCTGATTGCTCTCCAAAGCCCTGGGTGCTAGACAAAGAGTGACAGTCTGATGGACCCATAGGAAAGGGCTCATCTCACTTTTTGGCTGGAAATACTTTGTGTCCCCTTAGATTATGAGGTGGAGGCAAGTCTCCTACCAAGTTAGTTTTCTTTCACTTACTTGTTCCAGGTCGCCTTCATTGCCTTTCCTCCTCTCTGTCAAGTTCTTGGGGGGAAGGATGAAGAGCTCTGCGGAAGTGGGGAGGCCAGGGAACACGGCAACTAGGATCTGCTCTTCTGGGATGCTGGTTACCTGCAAAGATGTTTAGACCAAAGAATGGGGTCCTGGAGGAGCCAGCCTTCCCCAAGTCAATAACAAGGATATGGACTATAAAGTTTTTTAAATGCAGCATTTAAGGCACAGTTTCCAATACATATCCAGGCTTCTTTTCTGTTTTCCCCTCGAACTGCTAGGTAGAGAATTATTAGTTTTACTTCCTCCTCTGCTCTCATATACATCTGTACTGAAACTAAAATACTACTACAAATGATCTTCAAAATACTGTTTGCTGGCAATATTGGCAAAAGCTCCTCCCATATTTTCCATTTTTCTGCACTAAGGGGACTAGAGCTTCTGGTGAAAACATGAACAGACTGGCTGCAAATGAAGAATAAGAAGGTATAAACAAACACGGGAAAACACAAATTAAAAAAAAAAGAGCAAAGCTCTTGTTTTCACTTACTAAAGCAGGATTTTTTGTTAAGTTACAGTAGCTAATACTGGCGAGGCTTCAATTAGGAGGTTTCCTCAACTGTTGCTGGCAGCACTAAAAATTGATACATATTGCCAATTTGGTTTTCAAAAGACTTACTGGAAGGTCATAAAGATATTCAGACCCTTCATTCAGTAACTGTAACTTGGAGTGTCTGTCCTAAAGAAATGATCCAAACTATAGGAAAAGCCATATGGAGGAAGAAACACTCAGAACATTATTTATGTCAGATAAATGGGGAAGACTCAAATATTCAAAAAAGTTAAGTAAATAATGGTTATACTACCATTAAGATAATTAGTACAGTGCGGCAACGTGGAAAAACACCTAATGACAGCTGTATTCTGATCTATTACTCACATTTCTTTGGTTACAACTCTATAAAAATAAAAAATATACATAAAAAATAAAACAAAGCACTAAAAGTTCTGTTAAGATGTTGAAGTACTGAATGAATTTTTCTATTCCTGAGTGTTTAGGAAAAGGATTATATTGTTTTTGGATAAAAACTAAACGTAAGCTTCCGTCTGAAGGCAAATTCCTTAAGAAAACAAAACTCTGAGTTCTCCCATGTAAATAAAGAGTAGGCCTGTTCTTTCCTATGTGTCTCTGGAAGGTCTTTACATCCAGAACAAAACTTCTTCTGTCAATCCAAATACGATATATATAGTTTTTGACTTGGCTGAAACACCTGCCTCCTCCAAGAAGTCTACCCTGACTATCCCGCCTGCAGTGACCTGTTCCGTGTCAGTCTCTCGTCCCCAGCACCTCCAGATTACCATGAAAGGAACTTAGATCATGTCCACGGTAACATATGAGTATGTCTGTCTGCTACATTCTTTTCTCTGATAACTTCTTATTATATGTTTGTCCAGACATTCCAGGGGGGCGGGGGACGAACTCTGTGGCTACCTCATTGTTCCAAATGATGCCTGACCTGGAGGAAAGAATAGACACTGGACTGAATAGAACTGGAGGGGTTGTCTCCCATTAGCTCAGCTCTGAGTCTAATTTGGAACTAGAGATTGGAGTTAACGCTTAGGAATGTGATGCAGGAAAGAAAGAGTGCCAACCTGCAGAGAACTAGCAAGCGGCAGTCAGAAGCCTGAAAAGCCCTCCAAGGTGGGGAGACATCCCCGTGCAGCCTGAAGAGGCTTTGCCAGATGCCTCAGTTTCCTCCTGGGAGGCGAGATGGCCTTGTCCTAACCAGCCAGGGGAAGTAAGTCTCAGAGACCAAACTGAGGTCAGACAATCACCCAGTTGAGAGAAGGGGATGAGCCCGTGAGTGTTGTGGCTGGTGTGACCCTGTGTCCCAGGGAAGAGTGGTCTCGGGGTGCATCACTTGGTTAGGGACCTTGGAGGGACCTAACTCCAGTCGTACAAAATCCCACACAATCCTGGATGTTTCACAGTCGAAGGTATACAAGACCAATTTCATTCTCATCCCTCTCTAGGAACAATCTCTTTATAAAAAGATGTGAGGTGAAGTTCTTCTTGTGGACAACTCCCCACAGGAACACTCTCATATCATTCTCTTTTATTGGTGCTTCTTCCTTCCTGGCAGCTCCTTCTCCGTGTCCTTCCCTGGATCTTTCTCTTCTGCCTTGGGAAGCATTAGCATCCATCTCTGCCCTGGCCCCTCTCCCTCTCAAGGTGGGGTGGGGGGGATCTAAAGAGCTCCACAGCCTCAGTTCCCACATTGCTACCTCCCACGGAAACCTCACTCGATCCCCAATCCATATCCTCAACTCTCTTGCTTATCTTCATCCAGTTGTTTCTCACGTGCTCCAAATTCATATAAAAGACCAAATGATTACTGTTCCCCAAGCATGTTTCTCCTACACAGTCACCATCTTGATCAATGGCAAGGAAAACCCTCTCCTTCCTACTCTTAAAATCAGAAAGTTTCTCCCTCCCTCCCATCCACACTGTATTTTATTAGTCACCAATTCTACTGCTCAACTGCCTAAGTAGCCTTTGAATCGTCCCTTTTCAGGATCACAGTAGTCTTTTAACTGGTCATCTTTTGTGAAATCTCCCCCTACACTATTCACTTTCCCACCTCTGGAGCCCATCCTCTGTATTGCCACCAGAATGGGTGTCTGAAACATGAATCTATTGCCAGAAATTTTTACCTATATTGGGTTGGCCAAAAAGTTCGTTCGGGTTTTCCTGTAACATCTGACGGAAAAACCCAAACGAACTTTTTGGCCAACCCAATATAATAAAGAAAGAACACTTTCCAGAGACTACGGGATGTATGTCAAACCCCTTTTGGCTCCTCAGACCCTTTACAAACTGACCAATCCATCCCTGCTCAACATCATTCACACCTGCCCTCATAACCTATAGATTGGCTACACTAAACTGTCATGTCCCAGATATTCTGTGCTTTCCACGGAGCCTGGCTTTGCACACGCTGTTCATTCTACCTGAAAGACATCATCCTCTCTCTGTTAACTACTATTTGTCCTTTAAAACAGAGTTCAAGTATCCCCTCCAAAGACTATTCTAACAGTTCACAAGTATTTACTGAACCACAAATGTGTGCGAAGCCTGAACTTTCCTGGACAGAGTGAACTGCACTTTTCTCTGTGCTCTTTTGAAATGCTGGCCATGCCTCTACCATAGAACTAGCTGCATATTAGACTTATCTCTACATTTGAATTGACCATGTTTTATTCGCTATTATAGTCCAGTGCCTAGGTGTGAGCAAAGGGTTAAAAAAACCCTTTCAACTTTCAACGTTGTCTTAAGGAAAATATGACCTTGGGCAAATTCTATAACCCCAGAGTCTGCTACCATGCTCTGTTTCCTGACCTGCAGCCTTCTGATGGCCACATATGGTCAGTGGGAGTCTTGAAGTCTGAGTGGTTAAAAAACAACAAAAGCAAACAAACAAGCAAAAAAACCCCAAACCTTGGTGGGCAAACAGCCAACTAAATGAATGATATTAGTAAAGACTCAATGAGGGGCCCAGCCATCATTTCATGAAAGGGGTCAATTTGCTACCTTAGAAAACTTTAGGATTAAGATGGGGTCAATTTCCCATCCTTGAACACCGGATTGATTCTCTGTCTCCGTCTCTCTCCGCCTAATCTCTCCATCTTTCCTTCCCATCCTTCACTTCCCCCATTCTTCTTTTCTCTCTCTCTTTTTACAGAGAAATAATCTTTACTTAACTGCGGAACGGTGGTTTGCATCCATGAAAATGTATTCTGGACCACAGCATCTTGTTCTTTATTCATAAACATTTAAGCAAAGAAAAAGCCAACTTACTTTCACCAGAGCCCGCTTGATCACATTGGCAATATCTTGCCTCCACTCCGGAATGTCAGGATTGTGGTAATCCAGATTAGGAGAGAATGATAAGAGTTGGGACTGAAAGTATTCTGCAAGGAGAGAGCGTGTGTGAGTGAGGCTGAGAGAGGGTGTGATAGGCAAGGGGACTCCATGATCACTGTGCTTTAGGCAAAGGGCACAGTCTTTCATGTGGCCTCATCTCAAATTCCTTCCTTTCAACCTGTCTCTTGGCTTCTAAAAAAAAGTGGCATTTGGTGACTGGAAGTAAATTTGTGCTCCTACCATTTTTGTTTGTTTTTAAAATCTTAAGGACTTCTTCTTGTAAATGAACATTACCTGAAATGCAAGAAAATTGTGAAACTCCAGAAGAAGGGGACTTTTGCTGCTGCAGGTGGTATCATGCAGTGGCAACAATAAAGCATTAATAAATGAGCTAGATTAGAATGAAGCCTTTTCTTATCCTTCCCTTAGTTCCATGGACCCTGCTAGAAAAACTGCCTCAAGGGCTTAGAAAACAGGTCAAAACCCTGTATCTAGGGTGTGGGTAACATTCAGTTTCTCAATCTGATTGGTAGGTACACAGGTGTGTCCACTTTGTGATAATTCATGAAGCTAAAACACTTATGATCTGTGCACTTCTCTGTATTTAAAAAGAATTTTTTAAATTGAAGTATAGTTCATGTACAGTGTTGTGTTAATTTCTGCTGTACAGCAAAATGACTCAGTTGTATACATACTTTTTAATATTCTTTTCCATTATGGTTTATCCTAGGAGGTTGGATATAGTTCCCTGCGTTATACAGTAGGACCCTGTTGTTTATCCATTCTAAATGTAGTAGTTTGCATCTAATAACCCCAAACTCCCAGTTACATTCCAATAAAAATGTTTACTTAAAGTCTTCCAGGTGCCCGATGAGAGAGGCTGAGCCTCGAGTTTGCAGAGTTGTAGGAAAAGGCACTCACCCGGGGTGAGGTGGAAGAAATACAGACTGAGTCAGAGGATCACATTCCTCACTCAGTACAACTTTCTGGAAAACCCTGGTATAGTGGCTGTTTTTAGGGTATGTGGGAGGTTTGTGGGATGGTGGTAGAAGCACAATTTGATTTAAAAGAAATTTAATAATTAAGAGTGGTTCTCCAGGACTGAGAACAGAACGGTGGCCCTATTTACCACTTTCCCGCCTTGCTGTGTCTTTCTATTCTCAGCCTTAGTCTCAGCCTTTGCAGCCAAAGATCAGAATCTCAAACAACAAAGAAAACATAGCAGTTATGTGTAGTTCATCCCAGTACCCAAGCTGTGAGTTCTTCAAGAGCAGGGACCATGTCTCCTCCAGCTTTTGAAATCACTGGTCCCCAACCTAACAAAGAATGGATGCCACATGTGTGTGAGAGATACCTTGGCAGGTCATCAGATCTAGATGCTTCTATGACAGTCTTTCCAGCTCAGCATTCCTTCAACTTATGATACATCTCTGTCTAATGAGACCATCAGGTTTTGATGCAGACACATCACAGAAGACAAGAAATGCCTGTCCGTGATCTGCTTCTCTAACAACCTCTGTATCTATTCAAGAACAAGGTAAGAAGTAGGTTTGGATAACTTTTGTGGACCTACCTAATTTTCCTATGCCCTGGGGCATTTCCAAAGCTGTCAGCGATTGCTGCTATGGTGTATGGAGGGGATTGGCTGGGCAGGAAGGGGCATCACGGGGCTTACCGTGAACTGCGATATCTTTTGTGTCCTGGATGAGGGCATTCCCAGCAGCCACCTGGACAGTGATGGTATTGGTTCCCTCTGCTAGGAATGTGAAGGAAATGCTGCTGTCTAAGGTGATGAGGGGCTAAAAGAGAGAAGCAGGAACACTTATTTAGTCCTTTATGGGATATCCGATTCCCTCCTTTCCTGTAAATCTCAGACTGTCACCAATCTGCATAGCATTTGCATATCCCCAAGGGATCCTAACTTGAAAAAGGAAAAAAAAATGCACAGCTTTCTGAAACTGTGATTGTATATCCAGTATCCAGGAAGGGCATTAATATACTTGAAATGCTCTGTAAAATGTTAATTCTGAGAGATGAAGATAAGACTGGGCACCCTGGATTTTGCACATCATTCTACTCCTTCTCCTGGGGCAAAGTAGAAGCATCTTTTGTAAGCTATTCCCAGTGACTCTGGGAATAGGCGATCACTTTTCTCTTTTCCTCTAATATTCCATGTCACTTATATTTTCATCCTGTATTCCATCGGGCTGTAAGATTTTTCAGAGAAGTGACCACATCTTATTTATTTTTGTATCAACCACCCTTGGCAAATTGTCTTACATCTAGCAGAATCCGTATATAACTTGGATGTATGGTCATATTATTGACATTTTGTTTGGTCATATCTGTTTTTCCATTGCAAGGCATTCTAACAATTTAAATAAGTTGGAAAACATATAAACATGCATATCTGTGCTCACTTTTTAATCTTTTTTCCCTTTCTGTTTTCCTTCCTTGATCATGACAGACAGGGACTTGTCAAGGATAAAGAAAGAGAATAAGCATATTTTTTTTCTTGGGAATTAGGATCTTGATAGAAGCAGGTGCTTACTGGAGAGAAGAGAATGCAGATTCTGCGACTGAAGAGTCATTATTCAGTGATTATCTTGAAGCCAGTGCCCTCTCGAGTTATCTGGTGTTTGCAAGGTAAGACATATTAGTAGGAGGCTTCTCTAAGGCAGCTCGTGAAGAGATGTCACAAGTGCAGATGAGCAGACCCCTCTCCTCTCTGTGTGTTAGGACGACAATAGGATAGAGTAATGATGTAGCCAGCTGGGGATGTGTAGAGTTTCCCTTTTAAAATGTGGGTATCGGCCAGTGTTCACACAGCACACCCGTGCACCTAGACCCTGCAGAGGCTCAGAGAGGCAGTTTTCAGACAGCGTCCCTCCTGCAAAACTGAAATTCCTCTCTAGCTCAGAATTTTCAACTGGGCCTCTGAAACAATACTTTGATTTCTTGGCTTTAATATTCTATTGCTCTATTTTATGACCAGGCTGATGGCTGGAGTTGGACAGGATTAGAGATATTGCCCTAAGCTTTCTGACACCCTTTCTTCTCTGCTTGCTGAATGAAAGAAAGAAGTGAGTACTGAAAGAGTTACACTCTTTATCTTAACTAAGGGTAAACCCCAGAGCCCAAGCATGCTTCTCCGTACTTATGGCTCTGTGATGATGTGCACAGGGTGTGGCCTTATTAATTAAACAACAAATGAGGTATAAGTAGGTTCTGTGATGAAAATCAACTCCCATGGGCCAAAAGTGGCTGTTTAGTGTCCTGTGTTGAGAAGGAAGCTGAAGTTAAGTTGGGCTCAGCATGGCAATGTCAGCCACTGACATGGAATAAAGGAAGAATGTGTGCCACTGAGTTACCACCTTTAGTATAACAAGAACAGAGACTTGATACTCTGGCTCTGTTACTATTTTAATGAATTACCTTGGGCAAAATTTGTCCCCACTGTGTGCCTTAGGTCTTTATCTTTTACATTAAAGGTTTGGGTTAGAAGTTGTGAGGACTCATTCAGGAATCAGAACACATAGGATTGATGAATGGCTTTTGGCAAATTTTCTAGTTCCTACTAGTCAACTCATTATGACTTACCTGTCAGAATACCTTCAACTGCTTCAGTACCTCGGTCATATTCTTTGGAAGGAAAATGAGATACCTCTATATACCAAACACAATGGCTAAATTTTCTTTAAAAATAATAATATCAAATATTATTGAGGATGTGGAGCCACTGGAACTCTCATCCATTTTTGGTGGGATGTACAATGGTGCAACGATGTAGGAAAAAGTTCAGTTTTACAAGAAATTGTGATAATTTTTTCCAAAGTAGTTGTAACATTTGATATTTATGACTTAGCAATTGAAGTCCTGGGGATTTAGTCAAGATAAAAGAAAATATCCGCAAAGAAAAGAACATGTTTATAGCAGTACATTCATACTAGCCAAAAGCTGAAAAGAACCTAGGAGAATTTATCAATAGGAAAATGAATAAACAAGTCATAGTACATGCATATAATGAACAGAAAAGAACAAATATTGATATATACAACAGTATGGATAAGTCCCAAAACCATAAGAAATGAAAGAAGCCTTATATGAAAGAATTAACGTGGTATGATTACATTAAAAGAAGTTCTAGAAAAGGCAAATCTAATTCATGACGAAAAAAATAGGGACTGGTTCTGGGGGTTGGGGTGGGAATTGACCAGGGGCATGAGAGAACTTTTGGGAGTGATGCTGATACTATATATCTTGATAGGAGTTTGGGTTACAGGTATATGCCTTTGTTAGAACTCAGGAGCTACACACTTCAGATCTGTACATTTCACTGTTGATACATTTCATACCCCCCGGGGGAAAAAGTATAAACAAATAAAGGACTCTAGCTAATGATTTGCCACCTAAAGCATTTAGGACAAGGCATGTAAGTGTCTGAAATAAATCAAAATTTAAGATCGGTTGATGGCTGAACAGAGGGATGGACAGATAAACAGACATGATAAAACAAGCACAGTAGATGTTAATGATAGAATACAGAGGGTGGGTATGTGAATGTTCACTTCAACTTTAGTTTGTGTTTGAAGTTTTTAATAATAAAATGTTGGGAGAGAAACAAAACAAAAAAGCAATAACTGATGTGGTGTTTTTCTTTTTGTTTGTTTGTTTGATCCCATGAATTGCTCTTCCCATAACTGTATCACATTGTCCTTCCATTTTGGTTACTGCCCTCAGCTATCTCTAATCTCTTCCCAGCTCTCAGCCCCAGGATACTTTTCTCCACTAATGGTTGTCCCTTCAGGGAATCTGCACAACCATCATGTCATCTTCTTCAGCTTTCAGGGGTCTACATGGCCCCTGCTCCCCTTTCTCTGCACACTCGTCTTATCTTAGGCTTGGGTGATGGTGCTGTACCAGACAATGATATCTCTTTCTGAGAGGAGTGGAATTCCTCCTGTCCCAGCAGATTTGGTCTCCTCTCTATCTGGCTGCTTTCCTAGAAGATCCAGGAACCAAACAAGGATGCACGTCTGCAGGACAAGGGAAAGCCATCTGAGGTGGGAGGGAGCATGCCATCCCACCAGCCAGTCGGGGCTCTGAGCCACAGCCAACAAACTGTGTTGAATGTGAACACTTGGCCCCCAGGTAACAGGCTCCAGGCTTCCACCCTAGGGAAATGGCAGAAGCTAATTCTGTTTTCCAAATTGCTTTTGTTTTTCATCAGCTGTTGTGACATCATGGCTGATTTCACCTTCCTGGCAAAGCTGGAACACTCCACGGGATTCTTGAGTTCTTCACTGGCCACCCATGTCTAGGGCACAACACTAAATTAAATCAAATATTTTAAGGTTCATTTACTAACTCTACTAGGCAAGCAGACACATTTATTAAGCCAGAACTCTGTTAATCCCAGCAAATTGGCCTGTTAGAGCCCCACAGATCCAACAGGCGGCCAGTTGACTTCTCCGTGTTTTGTCCAAGCTGCAGGGCCAGCCCACAGCAAGGCTCATGTCCTGCCTAGGCTGCAGGCTGCATCCCTGCCCACAGAGGATCCCTCATGTGCAACAGGTCATGTATTATCCGCTAAGCCCAGCAAGCCATCAATGAAGCTCTGAGTAACTAGTTAGGAGATTCCCATGTGACTAATGGATCAGGGAGCTTCAGGGAAATGTCTGGATGCAGCCTACACCAGATTCCCAATACATAGCAAGTGAAGTTAATATTGAATATTATAAAATCCCCACAATTTAAATGTATACCTTGATAAAACCTTCCATTCCTAAATTGGACAGACTATGTAATCACTACACTTGCCTCACTTAAAACCTTCAGAAGATTACATATGTGGAAAGTGCTTTACTTTATGGAGAAGGCAAGATATATAATTGTGGATATGCTATGATGAGAACTACATGAGAGAAAAGTCTAAAATACATAAAAAGACCAAAAATAAATAAAGTAAATAGTACCTAAATATGTGTTATGACTATGGGAGTATTTTGAAAATTTATAGTTTTGGGGAAAAAAAATTCCCTCAAACACACACACACACACACACACACACACACACACACACACACCCCTGTAAAAACTCTTCAAAAGTATCTCATTGTTGAAAATATCACCGTCCATGAATCTGGTTCTATCTTCCACTAGCCTATCCTAAAGCTAAGTTTCTATGACAAACTAAAACACATCCGGTTATGTCATTCAAAGCCATTTGTCATCTATCCTCCCCAGTTTTAGTTTTTTACGCAATTTCTCCCCAAATGAATCCCTCTTTCGTAGTGTCTGTCTACACAGAACACAAACAGGCCCAAAGCCTGACCAGTGGGCACACATCCCTCCCCCTCCTCTCTGGCCTCAACTCTACCACTCCTTCAATGCCAGCTTAGGACCAACTTCATACACAACTTGCTCCAAGACCAAGAAGCCCGGCATCCATCCCCCCCTAGGCTGCCTGGCTGGGCCAGTAATGTTACATTCCTATTACCATTCCCTACAGTATCTATTTTGGGATGTTAACCTCATCTTCTTGAACAGATTGTTTCTTAAGGGCAACAAATGGAATTTATACTGCTTTGTGTTCCTCATAAGATTTAGCACAAAACGCAGGTTCTCGAGAAAGATCCACGGAGCTACTGATATAATTTAGCATCTCCCGCTGATAGACCTGTAGGTATATGGGCCTGTAGTTGGATTTCAGGAATGCTTGCTCTCTTCTCTCTATTCGTACATCATCACACTTGCTCACCGATCATTGTGTGTGTGTGTTCATCTTGCCTTCTCATCAGGACTGTAATCTCCTTGAAGATAGAGACAAGGTTGTAAGTGCTCTTCTGTTCCTAAGGGCACCAAGCAGAGGGGTGGCTATAAAGGTTTGTGGGGAGTCAACTGATTCTTATTGGGAGGTCGATTTAATTCAACCACCTGGGCAACCTGTCCAATCCAATTCACCTGGTCACAACATAGAAACAGACACACACAAACACATACACAGGGGATCATTTCTCCTTCATCAGTGATGTTCTGATGATTAAATAATATATATGAAGAGCCTAGTGCAAGGCCAATGCTAGAAAGAAATGCTCAAAATTAGTATTAGCTCCTTTTACAGATCGGTTTGTTCATCACAGGTAACCACATAGCTCGACACTCAGAGCACTCACCAAGACACCCAAAGACACTCATTCATTTGCCAGGAAAATACAATGCTCACTACATCAATTTCCGGGCACTGTGGCCACACTGATGTGTTTCTGTCATGGTGCTTGCAAAAGCACTGAAGATGTAACTCTTTTAAGTGGATGGAATAACAATGCTTGAAGGTGGGAGAGAAATCTCTAGAACCATGTCAGATTTGCCACTGAGATGTAGATGCCATTGATGCAAAGGATGAGCACAACAGTGACTGGATGTGTTCTAAGCACTTAAATGTCATTCTTTACTTAATCCTCTGAGCAATATTAGAGTGTAGTAGCTACCAGTCTTATCCTGACATCACAATGAACAAAACTAAGGCACAGAGAAATTACCTGATTTGACACAAGGCATGCAGCAAAGAGAATCTGAGTCTGGACCCCAACCCAGGTTTGTCTCATTTCAAAACCACTCTGTTCCAATGCCTCTAATGTACTATCGTTGTCTTGGCGTTTTGGGAAGCAAAAACCAACTAGTAAGACCTTTGAGATCTTGGGTATTTGTACAGCACTTTATGCTCAAGGTTATAGATGGAAATTCCTAACCTAAGAAGTACTTCAGGTCATCCTTAATTAAAAAAATAAAACCATAATGCCATTCTGCAATTTTAAAATTTCCCTCTCATAATATAGATTAGATAGAGAGATGATAGAAAGATATTTCAAATAATAACTCAATGATGATCATGGATTAGATATTAGTATCCTAGATTTAGAGAAAACAACACTGAGCTTCAGATCCGGGGATTCGTTCAGACTAACAGATAATTGTTAGAGAAATAGAAACTAGGCTCTCCAATCACTTTGTCCACTTCTCTGTTGATCAAATATTTATTAGACACTGTCTGGTATTTCAGGCCTTAGAATAAACACCCAAAGAAAAAAATGGTGCTATAGAGAAACACTATCTTTGGTTCCTTGTGGTCCGTTGAGTTCATTGGGTTCATGATGGCCAAGAACTGCCCTCCCTACACACACTTGTCTCCCAGTAAAGATCAACAGGTGAACAAACACTAACAGAAAAGAACTCCCTGGCTGGACAGCCCAAACCTCACATCCTCAGAGGTGAAATGAACTTAAAATCCTCTGATGTTCTCCTCCTAGAAGATTTTCTCTTTTTCCTTCACCATGTATGTCTGCTGGTGTTTAAAGCAGAATTTTAGGGTCTGTGATCTCCAAACAGGGTGATGCAGAGAAAGAAAGCATCCTGGGGCTGGGGGGTACATGGTAGATGGGAATTAGGAGACCTGGGTTTAGGTCTGGCTCGACAGCTAAACAGCTGTTTGACCTTAGGATGCTCATCTCACACAGGGAGCTTCACTTCTCTAATATACTAAATGGGGAATCTCATTAACTAACCTCCTGCCTATTGTCTTGGTGAATAATAACACCAGAAATGCAAAAGCATCATAGTCTATACTAAGAACTTGAAAGTATACAGCACAAATGATGCAAACAGGAAATTGTCCCTTGGGTCCATAAATCTAATTCAGTCTTTTATCAAACCATCCTAACAGTCAGTTTTTACACCAAAATAGAAAGCATCCATTTAGTGAGTAAACTAGTCTGTGCCAGGGAGATACACAGTATCTTACTTAGTTTTCACAAAAATCGAGATGATGCAGGCATTATTCTCTCCAGTTTGCTGTTGAGTGAATTAAATTTTAGGTCAGATCACTTGATGAAGCTCACATAATAAACATGTAGCAGTGCTAGAAACCTAACCCTTGTCTCCCTGACCCCAAGGTCCGTATTCTCTCAACCACATCACGCTACCACCCTGGAAAAGAGCAGGATTTACAACATTGTAAATCAACTATACTTCAATAAAATGTTTTTTTTAATTTAAAATAAGAGCAGGGATGAATCATCTCCCACTCTCACCATGCAAAAGCTGAAGTTCTCTTCGCTCATCTCATAACAAACAAACAAAACTGGCACTGTTCCATTCCTTTTTAAAAGGAATTACTACACCAGCAACTGAATATTTATTTCCCCTTTCTTTAGATATCCAGCATTTCTGAGTCTGATATATCTTTCATAAATTTTTTTTTTTAAAGTAAAGGTCTAAGATGAGCAGTACCAATCACATCAAGAATGACTAAAGAAAATGCAAAGACAAAAACAGGAAGAGCGAAAACCATGAAGCCCTTAAGCTGAGGAACCCTCAGCCACACTGCTCTCAGCTTCTGTCGTACAGGTGTGGTTATCCTTGAAAAAGCTTCGTCATCACCAGTTGCCAGGAGTAGGGAGTATCTGCAAAGTCCAGAGTTTGGCCCCGAAGTCCCTTTCTTTGAGACTTGGCAACATCAGTACCATGCCTAAGAGGAAGAACGTCAGTACCTGGCCCTAACAGAACACCTTGCAGGTCTTGCTAAAGATGCTTTACGTGCATTATTATTCCATTTGACTTTCGCTGCCCAGCATCTAGATATCTAATTCGTGTTTCACAGATGGTGTCACTTAATTTCAGAGATGCTAAATGACTTTCTTGATATTATGCAGCAGGTGAGTAGAAAGGCCGGGATTAGAACAAAATGGAAAAACATCAATATGAGAAATATTGGTTAGAGGGGCAAGAACAACCAGATTCTCCAAGTACCCTTTCTTCCTTAGGATTATTTGAACTTTCCCTATTATAACAACGAACTTGCTGTAGGAGGGTATGTCATATTCAATTACGTGGATTCATAGCTTCATTTAAGTACCCCCTACTGCCCACATCCCCCCTCTGCACCCCCCCACCCAACATCAACACAGAAGTTAGAACACGGGAACATTCAGTATAGACCTAAGCACACACCAGTCAGAAAGGGCCAAACCTTTGTACTATTGCCGAACCACCAGAAATAGGTCAGGGTCCCCAGCTGGCTGGGCCACACAACGGCACTGATGTTGACCTCCTTGTTTCTTATGGCAACAAATGGAACTCGGAGATGAACATGCTCCACGGGACCTAAGGGAACAAGGAGAACAATGTCAGTGTTTCTATTCCTGGAATAAACAATCACACTCCCAGATTCTTAATCTTAACCTCTGTTACCATCACCTATAATAAAACAAGGATTGCAAACTCACAGATGTTGAGAAGTGTGTGTGTGTGTGTGTGTGTGTGTGTGTGTGTGTGTGTGTGTACTTGAAATGAAGTACCACGTATAATAGGGAACTCAAATCGGGCTTCAGATTTTTTTCAGTGCCATCTGAATTTAATTTCCATCCGATAAGCCCAACCTCGAATGCTTGTGAACCTCCAGCCCAAGGACAAAGCTAGTTTACTGGACACTTAGTCAATAAATAGGAAGATAAAGCGTGGTCTCCTGCGTTTCTGCCGAGTAGCCTGTATTGTGATTGGCGGTCAGCGCATTGTAGGGAGGGCTCTGCCATTATCCTCAATTGTTAATTGGCCCCATCTTGTTCAACAATCGGCCATTGTGCCTGTCATCTGCAACACTCAGTGGGTATCATTCAGAGGCTCGCAAGGCTGTTTTATAGAAAGGAGAGAGCCCATCTCCCTAAATTGAAGGAGAAATAAGTGTCAGGTTCCCAAATAATAATTTAAAAAGCTGCTTGCCTAAAGGCGACCAAGCTTGTATTTTTTTTCTTCCTCAGAAAACTGATGTAAGCAGTCTCAGGTTCTAAACTAGCAAGTAACAGAATAGATTGGAACCCACCCTATGCATACTAAGTGAGGATTTTAATTTAATTCATTTCCAAAATAACGTGAGAAGAGGAAAACGCTGTTGGAAAACGTTAGTGTATCAGCATTGCCTTTGTGGGTTAGATCGGTTATTTTTTAACTCTGTGGGATTTTCTCCCCCACCCTTACCCCTTTCTTTTTCCTTTTTGTTTTCTTTTTTTCCTACATACTTCCTTTCCTCCCTTTCTTCCCTTCCTTATATCCTTCCTACTTAGCCAAATCCAATGAAAATCTTCTAATTATCTGTCCACACTAAGTCAGAGCACATTTCCCTGGTTTCCACCATGATGGTGTTGACGAGCTAAAGTGACTAAAGGTCACAGCTGTAGCATGGCCAGCTCTTTAGCGTGGGGGCCTTGAGTTCTTCTCATGGGTGGGACATTTTCCAGGCCACCCAGCCTTCACTATGGATGTCTTGGGTTATTTTGGAGACAGCTCAGTTTAAAGGGAAGAAAACAGATGGATACTTTTCACTTCTGCTCCTGTTTAATTTTAGATGTATGACCTTTTCCTCTATCTTACAGAACCTTGAGTCTACACAGACTGTGATGCTGTGCCCTGCCTTCCTGACAGTAATAAGAACATATGAAAGTGACGTGTGGATGTTAAAGGTATCATATAATTCATTATGTGCTGACACTGTTTCCACCACCACCACTACCACTACCACCACATCATCACTGTTCCTGTGTATCGTTGTGTAGAAGTCCCTCTTGAGAGAGTGAGCGTTCTGAGTCTCACCGCGTACCTCCTATGTCGTAAGTAAATTTATATTGGGATAAAAGGTGTTTGGACAGGGACTGATGTTTGGGGGAGGAGATCAGCCAGACTGGCTTGCCACCTCCCAGATGATATTTTCCTGAACAATCAACAAGTGAATCTGTGTATCTACAGCGTGAAAATATTCCTTGCCTACTGCTCTCTCACCTGACCCCAGACATACGGTCCCTCAAGATTTCTTTCAACAAATAATTTCAAACCTGTCACTTCAGATACATATTTGGCTGAAGGTTTAATTATTTTCAATGAGTAAATCTGTTTAATTATTTTTGTATGGTTTGACTGTTGGTGAGAATAAACACACACACATACACACACACACGTGTGAGAAAATATCACCTACTTTTCATTGCTATATTTGCTCATTCTTAGGAGTTTTTCTGGTTTATCTCTCTTTGTTGTTTGTGTGTTACTGATCATTGTGGAAGAGAATGAGGTAATGGGAAGGGGACCCTGGCCCGGTCATCGTGCCCAGATTCACATCCCTCATTCTTCTCCTGCTGGGAAAAGGGCCCCTTTTATGCTCAAAGTCAATGCTTCTTTTTTTTTTAATTGAGGTATAGTTGATTTACAATATTGTGCTAGTTCCAGGTGTACAGCAAAGTGATTCGGTTATACACATATACATATATATAAATATTCTTGTTTTTTTTGTTGTTTTTTTTTGCGGTGCGCGGGCCTCTCACTGTTGTGGCCTCTCCCGCTGCGGAGCACAGGCTCCGGACGCACAGGCTCAGCGGCCATGGCTCAAGGGCCCAGCCGCTCCACGGCACGTGGGATCTTCCCGGACCGGGGCACGAACCCATGTCCCCTGTATCGGCAGGCGGACTCTCAACCACTGCGCCACCAGGGAAGCCCTATAAATATTCTTTTCTTCAAATCTTTTCTATTATAGGTTATTACAAGATATTGAATATAGTTCCCTGTGCTACACAATAAATCCCTGCTGCTTATTTGTTTTACATTCAGCAGTGTGTATCTGTTAATCCCACGCTCCTAATTTATCCCTCACCCTCTTCCCCTTCGGTAACCGTAAGTCTATTTTCTATGTCTGTGAGTCTGTTTCTGTTCTGTAAATAAGCTCATTTGTACTATTTTTTAGATAACGCTGCTGTCTTATCTCTCTCCCTCAAAACGCATGGAGCCCATTCCCCTGGCCAGCTCATGGGAACCCTGGGCTTTTCCACAGTTCAGTGATGTCGCTATGACTCATGGCCCTAGACAGGCTTCTCAGCTTTCGGTCACTCAGAGGCTTCAGCTCAACCAGGGCTTACATTGTTGGGTACTTTGATACCCCAAAATATAAAATGAGACCTCCTTCTCCCTAAACTCATGCCAAACACAAAAGGGTGGGGCTTCCACGAATTAGAACACCATCAAGCGTGGCCACATGTATGCCAGCTTCAGGACAAGTACATTCAGGTAAATATAATCTCAAGCAACAACATCAAACAGCTTTTCAGGGCAAAGAACCTGAGCCGGAAGCTCCAGACTTCTATCTACAGCTAAACCGTGGATCGGGGAGAAGAGAGCTGAGGGATTCAGGAGGGAACACAGCAAACTCCTAAAACCCGCACCGTCAAAGAGAGCTCTTTCTGATAAAAATCTAATAATCTGTGCGAGATTGGTTATTATGGGCGGCTAACAACTACCTTTGTTAGCTCATGGCCCAGGATGAGGCCAAGAGCAGTTTCCACTACAATAACTGTCTGGTAGATGCAGCCATGATTGATTTGGAGGAAATTATGAGCACGAAAAAAGTTTCAAGGGACGTTTCCTTCTTCACGCACGTAACCCACAGTATAAACCTGTTCCCTGCTCTTGTGTTTTTTTTTGCCACTGAAATACATTGGTCACTGTGTCTGGCAGGCAAGGCCCACTCTTGGCAGAATTAGGAACATGGGTGGGGCAGGTCGTTGGAATAGAGGAAAGAAAATGTTTTTTCTTTGTCTTCATTTTTAAAGGCGGCAGAAGTGTCAGGTAGAAAGTGAATGGGAAGTACTTAGTAGTTACTAGGGCAGGTAACACTCAGCATGTGCCAGGCTGGGTGCTAAGTGGCATTTTGCACACTGTGCAGAAGAACAACACTGATGTTGACCTGAGATCATCATCTTTAGAAAGACCTGTGGGCGAGACTGGCCCTTTGCTGGCATCTGGGAACTTGGCTCTGGGAGTGTTTCCAGTCAACAGTGAGCTGATAAGATTGGTTCACTCTATTTTTTTTTTTTTTTTTTTTTTAACCAATGATAGGGTTTATTTTGAAAAAATGCTTTCCTCGGGGAGTCTGGAATTTTGGTATACCCTAGGCAGAGGATGGCTACTTGGCCAGTCCCCAGTAAAAGCCACAGGCACTGAGTCCCCAATGAACTTCTCTGGTAAATAGCCCTTCATATGTGTTGCTACAACTCATTGCTGGAGGAATTATGCATGTTTTATGTGACTCCATGGGGAGAAGACTCTTGGAAGTTTGCACCTAGTTTCCTCCAGACTCTGTCCCCCTGGCCTTTTCCCTCTGCTGATCTCGACGTGTCTCCTTTCAGTGTAATAAATTATAGTCTGAAGTATGACTATATGCTGAATCTTATGAGTCCTTCCAGCAAATAACTAAACCTGGGAGGGGATGTCTTGGGGACCCCTGACACACACACATAATCCAATTTGATTCTCATGGCCTTGCTATAATCTAAGTATTAAAGGTGAGGAAACAGGGGTCTGTAAAGACTAAGAAAGTTGACTGACAGTAGACATTTCACAAACGGATACGATCAGAATTCGAACACAGGCCTCCCTTGCTCTAAACTTGGCTCATAAACACCTTGCACACCCCCCACCTGGGTTTCTGACCTGTTGCTTCGGACACAGAATTATTATTGTCGGTGTGGTGTGGTTATCACCCCTGGGGCTATTGGTGGCCCGTTTCTCACAGTACCTTCCCACCCTCACCAGAATGTAAACTCTGCAAGGGCAGGGCCATCTCTGTATTGTTGCCTCCCAGTGCCTAGCAGAAGCCTTGCATATATTAAGAACTCAACAAATATTCATTGAATAAATTAGTAAATGATTGGGTGTGTTATTTGTGTTTCCTATTTATTGTTACAAGATCCCTGTGAAGCAAGGTGCCAGTTAGAATTAAGGCATTTTGAAACTGAAGTTCAGAAGACCCAGAGAAGAAATCATTTATCTCGCAGTCATGTAGTGTGGCGTCTCTAAGGATATAACATGTATAATCCAGGTCTTTCTCCATGCACTTCCCTCACCACTGCTGGTCCTTATGCTGCTATTGTGACCAGAATGCTAGGAGACCAGCTAGGTCACTGTTTGCCAGGGACCTTTTTTTTTTTGCGGTACGCGGGCCTCTCACTGTTGTGGCTTCTCCCCTTGCGGAGCACAGGCTCCGGACGTGCAGGCTCAGCGGCCATGGCTCACGGGCGCAGCCGCTCCACAGCATGTGGGATCTTCCCGGACCGGGGCACGAACCCGTGTCCCCTGCATCGGCAGGCGGACTCTCAACCACTGCGCCACCAGGGAAGCCCACATCTCAATCTTTTGATTGAGGTCATCATTAGGGGTAGTAGTCACACCAAATCTTGCTCAGCTTGGAATCCCGGGAAGTCTGAACAAAGGGAGTTGTCAACTGGGAAGAAAGTAAGAGAGGCGATGGCTCACGCTACTTACAAACCACGTGCAGGAAGAGGACAGCTGTGTCTGAGCCCAGGTTGTTCTCCGCGTGGGCCGTCACCTGGAAGATCCCCGCACTCTTGTACACGTGTTTGATGCCGTCCTCGATGGGACTGAAGTTAGCATAGGACACTGCAATCCCATCCCCAAAGTCAAGCTGGATGTTTGTCCTTTGGAGATCACCCTGCAAGGTGGAATAGCAGTTGGCCTGGCCCCATTCACATGGTCCAGCCTGATTCCTATTTGATGCTTGGTCCTGGGCCTTCAGCATCATCCTCTGAGGCCCTAATCTCTCCCAGAGGGCTGAAACACCCTCGACACAATCGTCAGACTCTCTCTACTGGGCACTATGGACAGGTACTATGGACCTGTTGCCCCTGTATGCCCAAGCTTGGGGCAGCCTGATTTGGTTGACACCGCCAATTATGGATAAGGTAGAGCCTCTGTGAAGCTATGAACTGGGGAAGCCAAGGGCTTCCCTGGCTCCCTCATACACATTGTTCAATAATTTCTCTCCTGTGTCATCATCATTATTGTCGTCCTCATCATCGTGGTAGTAGTAACAGCTAATACTGATAAAGTTTCTTTTCAGTTCTAAGCAATTGATCCCCTCACAACTCTATAATGCAGAGAGTATTACGGGGCCCGTTTCTAAAATGGGGACAAAAATAAATTAAGTAATTAGATCAAAGTCTTTGCAGCCACTACTGGAAGAGCCAAGTTTTGAACCCAGGCAGTCTGGTGTCAGTACTCTCAACCACCTCAATACTCTCAATGCTATAACTATAATTGTCCCATTTTTTAGAATTTATTATTAGGTTCCAAGCATTATGCTAATCACATATTATATAATACCATCTTTAAAGTAACTCTGTGAGATAGGATGATTATTTCCATTCTACAGATGAATACTGCATACCAGCTGAAACTAGACCTGTGCTCTGGTGACCTTGGGTCTCCCTAAACCTGCCTAAGCTCCCTCTTCCCTAAAGCCTTTTTTGACCATCTCAGCTCACAGATATTCCTGCCTCTTGAGACGCTAAGAGCCCCTGGGTGCTGCCTGTGGAGGTGATGTCAGTGGTTCAGTTGCGTGCATCTTACCATCCCAAGTTGATCCTTAGCTGATTAAGAGCTGATATTGAACCCCATCCTTTCTTGTCCTTCTCCCCCCTGTATTGGGCCAACACTCTGGATAAATTAAATTGAACCTGACCATAAGATAAGGATCCTGGATGAAAAAGAAGAGTTGGGTCTCTCTAGTTATTGACAAAGATGGTTGATGGAATAAAAAGAGAAATACATCATTTTAGAATTATCTGCCCAGTGAACGTGCATTCATCACATTCTGTGCATTCTGTCTCTTCCCCCGTGGCAACCCAGATGTGAGTTGGTTGGTATCAAAATATTAATAGGCGCTACCTTGCCCCTCACACGATGTCAACTACCCTTGAGTTTATGAATATAAATTAAAGGGAAATGAACTGAAGGCAATTCAAATGGATAAGATCATGGCTCTTCACATCTATTCAAGAGAAGTTTTTTATAGAGCTGGTCCTGGAAACTCCCTAGTGGGAGTGTGATAATGACCTCCTCTGAATATTAAATTTCTTTAATTAAAGCACCCAGTGTGGATGAAGCCTAAAGAATCTGTCAGCCCGGGATAAGGAACCCTCACCGTCCTGTCCAGTGTGGGCCAGACTTTAAAGGTCTCTAAAGTATTCAGAGTTAGGGGAAAAACTCCTGGCCTGCTTTGGTCTCCTTCCAAACTCTCAAGAGCACACAGTAATTTGCATTTAAATTTAGATGGCTTTGTAAATCAGGCAAGCTTTCTTGCCCCAGCACCTCAGAAAGGAGTGCCTGAAAAATTCCCTGGTTTGGAAACAGATGAAACAACTCATATAGGAAGCAAGAAGCATACAGCAGAGCTATTTCTACCCTGGAATGAACGAACGCAGTCTGATTTTACTGCCGAGATCGCAGAAGACCTAAAAGGTGAACTAATGGAGCAGGTAGCTGATGGAAAATCAACTCATATGACATTCTTTATAAAAATAAGTTTAAAGGGTTAGAATCACTTCCCCCCACCCTCACACTCATACTTTCAAGACCCTTTGAAAGCCTTGTGGGCTTTTCTAATCTGTGGGATTAAGGGTTTAAAAAAAAAAAAAAAGGAAAAAATGTGAATTTCCTTCTTCCGGCAAAGTTTACAGTATACAATCTAATGATAATAAACATTCCTCCAAAGATGCAGACCCTAAAGGGATACCTCAAAGAATATATTCAAATTTGCACCTGCCCAGAGACAAGGGGGCCCCACTTCTGTATTGTGGAATGAAGGGAACAGGGTCCCTAAATATTCCAAGACCTCTTTCACCCCTTCCATCTTCTCCCAGGAGTCTTCACTTCTCACCATTGACTTTGTTACAAGGACTGGTGGGAAAACGTGATCTTCTCTTCCCATCTGGAAGTGGGCAATGACCTACCTGTGAGTTCTGACCTCACAGACGCAAGAGGGTCTCCCCTACCTCCTCCATGAGGATGATGAAGGTCGCATTGTGCCCCTGCTCTGCCACCAGGCGCCCATCGGTCGTCACCACGTGGAGGCCGTGAGGGGCTTTTCCGGGGCATATCTGGGCCTTGGCGGTGTACTTCTCCCTCAGTCCGTCTGTGCAGTTGTTGGACACGATCCGCCGGTACCTGAGAGGTATTGACCATCGTCAGTGGTGGGGTTTGTGCCAGTGTGTGCACCCTCGCATGCGCACGTACGGCAGAGCGTGCAGGAGAACAAGAGCGAGACAGAGATTCCGCACAGCTGCATCTATAGGCTGAGTCCCAAAGACAACAGCCATTTAGGACGCTAAGCAAACGCTGAGAAACTGCTATCCCTCCATCTCAGAAAGAGCAGCTCCTTAAACATTATTATCGATCCTACCTGGTGAAACGCAGATCGCATCAGTGTCTAAACCAGGCAAGAAAAATCAATGTCTGACTCACACATGATACAGGAGGATACAGACCCACTGGACTAGGGAAGCAAGGAAAGCAGGTGCTTCTCTCTGTGATGGAGAGACTTGTGCCTACCTCCCTGAGGCCAGAAAGCAGCTAGAAGATCAGCCTTCTAACTATGACTACTCAGGAAGCCTCTTCTGGTCTTCCCTCTACCCCCAGGACATCATCCCATCCCCTAATACCTAACAGCCCTTACTGTGGAGCCACTGGGCTCTTTTACAGCACATTTTCTCTCCTTGTTAATATTCCATTTCTCACTCATCACCAATGCCAGACTAGAAGCACAAGTTTGAAACTCCTATTTGATCCCGCTGTGGTAAAACTGCCTCAAAGAAGAAGCTTGCATGGGAAAACCTCCCCGTAAACACTGTGACCTTCTAGGTTAAAGGCATCTTTGCGCACAGTGATGACATGACATCTCGCTTGACCACTGACCCCAGCACGTGAAACCGAGAGCTTGCCCACAGCCCTGACCTGCACGACAGACTTTATTTCCAGGCACATCACTGTCTGTAAGGCTGCATAAAATCAATACTCTGGTAAAACCACATAAAATAAATGCGCCACAGACACCGACACCACCACCACCATCATCGCCATCATCACATCACATCTTTCACCCTGTGTGTCAGGAGTAATCAACCGGTCCATCCATGTTGCCTTTTTCTGGTGGCCTTGAGAGCAGGTGAAAGCAAATTCCTGATAAGTGATACCAGTCTTGCACTATCCCTGATATTTCCTCTCCCCCTGCCCCTCACGTACTGCTGAATTACCAGCCCCACATCTCCATCCAGAGATCTCAGGAGGGTGTCAAGCAAATGTTATATGTAGTTATTGCCTCATAAGCAATTATAATATATCCTCTTATAGATATATCAATATATTATTTTTAATTGTCAACTGAATTCATAATGGTTCTAGAGCTCCTCTGTCCAATAAGCTAGCCACTTTCCACCTGTGGTTACTGAGAACTTGGTTAGTGGTGTGTGTTGAAATGATAATATTTTGGACATACTGAGCTAAATAAAATATATTACCAAAATTAATTTCACTTTTTTAAAAAAACGTTTTCAGCGTGGCTATTTTAGAATGTTAAATTACACGTGTGGCTCGTATTATAGTTCTTTTGGTTGGCACTGGTCTATATAATCAAACTTTTCTAACCTATACCTTCTTGCTGAGCTTTAGTCATTTAGAAGATACTGAGTTTTACCTATGATAGATATTTTGGTGGGTATCATGTCCTAATGCACACTTGATATCACCCAACTCTTCAGTCTCAACTGGCCAGCTGGTCGACAATTTGTACTAGAAGCCAACATTTAAGCAACCTGGAGATTCACTTGTTGTGAATCTTTTGAAAAAAATGAATAGTTTTTCCCTTTCATCTTCTTGATTTATTTGATGGCTACTTGGGGTTTTGGTGCACCTAACTTGCTTAAACTTGGGTCTACCTACACATGTCACAGGATCATATGAGAAGCCCTAATGCAATTATCTTCCAGCTTATGTCCAGGTATGTTCTGGCTGGGAATTTGGTGGCGTAGCTCATCTTCTGTGCCCATTGTATTCCTCTTCCTCAAACTTCGTAGCACTTTAGTCTCTGACACCACATGTCTTTAAGTTTCATGCTGCTGGATCTGTAGTTTGAGTGGCTTAAATCCCTAAGACCATTCACGTACAATAAGATGACATCAGCAGTGCTCAAACCTCAGCTCAGATCCCAGGAATAGCTCCCTAAGAACCAAATTTTTGGCTAAAAAATGTATGTTTCTCACAGTATCTCAGACCACTCAATATACCTCTTCCATCATGTTTTTTCTTCCTCTGTAGACATCAGTTGGGTAGATAGTACTCCTACCACCATTTTACAACCAAGTAAGGTAAAAGTACTGAGCTGGTGAGTAACTTGTGTGAGATGTTAGAAGATCCATTGGAAGAGCTGAGACTGAATTCCAGAACACTTTAGTCCCTTGCTACTCAAAGATTAATGCCCAGCAATGCTGACATCGCATGGGAGCTTGTCGAAATGAAGAATCTCAATGCCACTCTAGATCTCCTAAATCAGAAGCTATTATTTTAACAAGATCCCCAGGTGATTCACAGCACATTAAATTTTAAAAAGCACTGTCTCAGACCACCAATCCACTTTGCAAATCTGTTCTAGGTCATAGGAGTGGCAAAGGAAAGGGGAAGACAACAGATCTCCAAGGAAAATTTTTTCAAGCATCTGAGTGAGTAAGTAATAAGTGAACAAAGAGAGAAACATACATAACTTGACAAGTACAGAGAGTGTGCCTTGATCTTCTTAATCCAGGAGTTCCTAGGATGGGACTTTTGACTTTTCATTCTAAATTTTCATCATCGGTCTACGAGAGCTTCAGTTCATGTGTCACTAGAAAGCACTGTAGTATCTGCACACCACTAGTGTTCATTTATTTCCATTGGGGTCTGGAAAATAAGGTGGCATCGCCTTCCAAAAGAGAAGGTCTGATCAAATAATAGCTATGGTATTTCAGAGGCAAATAGCAAAAGGTACTGAAATCTGGGTAATCAGAAATCTCTCTTTTTTTTTTAACACCTTTATTGGAGTATAATTGCTTTACAATGGTGTGTTAGTTTCTGCTGTATAACAAAGTGAATCAGCTATATGTGTACATATATCCCCATACGTCCTCCCTCTTGCGTCTCCCTCCCACCCTCCCTATCCCACCCCTCTAGAAATCTCTTTTGATGCTCCAAAAAAGCTAGCTCCAGCTAAAGAACCCTTCAGCTTTCCTCAGAAGCCACCTGTTACAAACAAACTCTATCTACACTCCACCTTGCTTCAGTAGGAATCCTCCTTTGATCCCAACTTAGGGAAACAGGGAAACAGTGATTGGAGCTCCTTCAGGTATTTTACTTACCCAGTGCTGTTAAGGTAGCTTTGACCAAGGCTGCAGTCCTTTGACGGGGATGCTGGATTGTACCAGAAAGCTGGGACACACTGGCTTTCTCCATGTCTCTCATAGCCATAGTCACTGTCGAGAAAATAAATATTGCATACTGGTATAGATGCACAAATGTGAAAATACCCACAGGCACACACAAACACATCCCTTTAACCATCCCCAAAGCTGCAACACATTCTTTAAATATTCCCAGTCGGGACAAATATTCATACTTTGAAAATAGATTTTCAGATTTGGAAATAATCCCAAAGTCATTCGGAGTTCAGTGTATAGAAGACATAATAGATTGTCAGATGGAGGGTCCAGGCTTAAACAAGTACGGATGTACATGATGTGGCAGGTACACTGGCTTGGGGTGGGTGTGCGGGGTGCTGTAAGCCTGAAAGTATATTTTGGATCACAGTGGATTTACTGAAATAAGTAGATGACAACCAAGAAGATGACTTTAACGGTCAAGATTTATTTCTGTGTTCAGATTCCACATTTTATTCCAAAATGGAATTCATTGATCTTTTCATTTTTTCTGAAATTCTCTCTCAAACAAATATACACCTTTGCATTCACATATACACAGTCATTCAAACTTTTCCCAACTATTTATAACACAGGTCCCTTGTTTCCTTTAGGAAAAAACAACACACACACACACACACACACACACACACACACACACACAAAACCCCACAAAAACTATACTGTAGCTCTTCTCCATGTTTTTGTAAAAGCCTAGCCACAGTAAAATGAAGAAACAAAGTCTGGTATGATTTTCTGCTCCTTTCCTCCACATTCCAGAGTGAGGAAGTCATCGACCATTGTAGGAGAGGCGCTCTCCCATCTGAAATGTAAATGGTGTTGCCTTACTTCTTGGACTTTTATAAAGCTCCCAGAAGCATAAATTCCAGGGTAGAAAAAGAGCAACAAAGTAGGCATTTTGTAACTCTTGTAACCAACCCCAGGTCATTGAAGGTGGCTTAAATTTGGGGGAGGAGTCATGCCTCCAAGTCAAGCACCCAAAGATGTCCTGAAACCCACAGACAGGGCAGAACAATCTGGGCATTTGAATACTGATCCACTGAGTGTTAATAAAACATAAAACAACAGGAAAATCGCTCTCTCCAGACCCACCCCTCCTTTCGTTTTCTGCTCTCCTATTCTTTGAGCCAAGATTTAATTAAAGTCCAATGAAAATAGATGCAAATTGTCTATGTGGGTAACTAGGATAGCATGAAAGGGAGACAGAAAGAAAAGTTTAATTCCACATTTATTACTCAGTATGTGCCTTGTCCTGTGAAGGCCATAATCCTTATTCTCAAGGGGTTTTCAGTCTTTTGGAGAGAGGAAGACAACAGGCCTCAAATCCAACAAAAGAAAAGAGTAATAGAGTATCAAGCAGAACACAGTGTGATACAGGATGAAGCAGTACAGTTAAGAAGTACCAATTGACGGATGAGATTATATAAATTATCTTCTCGGTTTGACCCCACCCTACCTTGTCACCACCTTCCTCCAAACCAAACTCAGGCCAACATTCAACCCTCTTTGTCTTTGTCTGTGTGATGCCCGGGGCTTTTGTGTGTGTGTGTTTTTTTAAAGATAAATTTATTTATTTTGGCTGCGTTGGGTCTTCGTTGCTGTGTGTGGGCTTTCTCTAGTTGTGGCGAGCGGGGGCTACACCTCACTGCGGTGTGCAGGCTTCTCATTGCAGTGGCTTCTCTTGTTGTGGAGCACGGGCTTTAGGCACGCGGGCTTCAGTAGTTGTGGCACGCGGGCTCAGTAGTTGTGGCACACGGGCTCAGTAGTTGTGGCTCGCGGGCTCTAGAGCACAGGCTCAGTCGTTGTGGTGCACGGGCTCAGTTGTTCCACGGCATGTGGGATCTTCCCGGTCCAGGGCTCAAACCCGTGTCCCCTGCATTGGCAGGTGGATTCTTAACCACTGCACCACCAGGGAAGTCCTGCCCAGGGCTTTTGAAGCACTCTACCTTTTTCTGTTTCAGGTGGTTTCCTATGTATCCTTCTTCAATATCTAGGTCTGATGAAGCCATTCTTGCTTCCCTGGACCAAACCTTTGTGGTCCTAGCATTTTAGAAACATCAAGGCTACAAAAGAGCAAACCCTTCTGTTGGTTTTGTTCGGCAATATAAGAGTCTAGAATAGGACACTGAAGGTGCTGAATAGATATTTACTGGGTGAATGATACTCTAATTACATTTTTAAATGATTGCACAAATTATCCCATGGCATCTGGTCTATTTCTGCAGGGAGACTGTGAGCCCGTGGTTGACTTCCCAGTGTGGACCACAGAGAGAATCCCAGGTGCTCAACAGATGCCTGTGGAGTGAGTGTGAGCTTGAGTCATTGCAAATCGCTACACGGAAAGGTGAAGGTCAAGACCAGCTTTGATACGGCAAGTTTAAATGAAACTGGAAGAAAAGGAGAAAGGGACATGTCTGTCAAGGTAATCTTTTGCCATGCCTCCCCTGATCAATGATTGGAGATCTTCCAGCCTGAGAGTTCACATGGACTCAATGTTGTGCCAGCTGGTAACCGCCCATGAGAGCCAACTTAAAATTCCAGGAATTTTGCAAGTTAGTTAATGGTTGTTAAACACAACTATTATCGAAAATTAAGTTATACAAAATTTCAATTAAATAAATTATATTCAAAGGATAATAAATACCAAAAACACAGAAATTCCTCATTATTTTGCTGCATTATTATATGCAATAAATATTATATATAAAATGTCATTGTATATCATTTTATTATTTATGCTCTTGAAGTCATTTATGTCTATGTTTCTATACAGTAAATACATAGATACATGTTGTGCTTCCTAATTCTGCATTCAGTGATGCCATGTTGGTAACCTGAAATCAGATATGGTGGGAATATTTATAGCAATCAGCAAACACTACTAATCAGGGCTTATTTATTTGTTTCTTTGTTTCCAGAGAGCCGGTGGTTAAACATTTTCCAGTACAGCACTGAATATCTGATTTCTAAGCATTGTTTATCTGCAGAATATCTGATTTCTAAGCATTGTTTATCTGCAGAAAGTTTTGGGCTGTGGTGTGTCTGCACTACTTCTAGAAAATTCCCTGCTTCCTTTATGAGGTAAATCTACTGAATGTCCTGTGAATCCTAAGAAATATTAGTAATCTCTGAAGGAAGGGTGTTCTCCTAAGCAGCTCTGGGAAGGAGAGAAATGTCTTATTTCTCCTTGCTAAATGTAAACATCTTTAGCAGTTCTGTTCAACTCTGCTACCTGTTAGTGATGTAGTAATTTAAAAAGGTGCATCAGGGGCTTCCCTGGTGACGCAGTGGTTGAGAGTCCGCCTGCCGATGCAGGGGACACGGGTTCATGCCCCAGTCCGGGAAGATCCCACATGCCGCGGAGCGGCTGGGCCCGTGAGCCATGGCTGCTGAGCCTGCGTGTCCGGCGCCTGTGCTCCACAACGGGAGAGGCCACAATAGTGAGAGGCCCGCGCACCAAAAAAAAAAGGTGCATCAGCCATGCTGCTTTGCCCCAAAGAGAAAAAGCACCTCATTAATATTTAATATTTAATAACATTAATGACTGCCCCCAAGTTGTGAACTTCTTCATTAACTTCTCTAAATGTATATTAAAATCTCTCATCCTGCCCAAGCTCCCCCCCAGCTCTGGAGTTTTTACAATGTCAGCAAGTAAGCAGTCCCAGCTGTTGCTCCAGCTTCTTGAGGAAAGGTGGTTTTCTGTTGAATTGTGACATTTGGAGAGAATGTACCAGAAAGTTTGATTTGCCTCTGGGAAGTAAGCTACCACAGCTTCTGCAAACACACAGATAGTTTCCTTTAAGAAATAAGCCACCTCTGTGGTTTTCTTGACTATAAAAGGGTTTAGAACTTCTAAACGCTTATGGGAAAACTTATCCATTTAGGACACATAGGGACCTATGTGTCCTCCAAGTCCCATCCAGGGAGAAGCCTCAGACAATCCAAAGAAGGAATAGACAAGAAAAGGTTCAGAAATCAAAAAGCTTCTGCATGTCAGAATAGGAAGGGACACCTGTATTCCTTGGGTTCAATCCCCTCAGTTGACAGATTGGGAAGGAGAAGAAAAAGAGGAGAAAAGACTTGTTAAAGATTGTACACACCTGATGATGTTAACCAAAGGTGATAATTGAGACTCCTGATGGCTGGTTCAGCATTAGTACAAGCCCATGAAACACCCATTTAATCAGCAGGGAAGACCTAATGTCATTCTGAGCCTCTTGGAGTCATCCAAGAAGTCATGGTCTCTGCTGGCCCAGTGGTAGGGGGTATCCTACTCTCAGACTATGCACTACCCCATCATAGCCTCATTGACCCCCAGTTCCTCCATTTCCCCATTTGGGAGCTGAGGCTCTAGGATGAGTGTTCCACAGGTGTCTCTGTCTCATTTTAGGAGACAGTAGAGCACGCTGGGTTTAGGATCAGACAGAGGTTCTTGGCAGCCACAGCATGAACACTCAGAAAAGAGAAGCAACCACAACAAAAACCACAACAAAAACAATGGACTAATAATTAACGTCATCATCATTTGCTAAGGCACAGCCTAAATGGAGCTATAGAGATAGAAAGATAATTATATCCAAACCATTTCAGAAATTGTTTGAAAAATCAAACAATCATCACTCAAGTGTCTCTCCTAATCTAACCCCATGCTACCCATCTGGCCATACCCCTCTATTCATCAACAACCTTCACATATCTGCTTTCTTGGATGTGCTGCCCATTTTCCTCATACTTATTCAGCAGCACGTCTATACAGCCCCATCACCACTTCCTGCAGGAAGCCTTCCATCATTACTCCAGTCCTCAGTGATCTCTTTGCTCTGACCATTCCTAGCACTTGCAGGTAGGACGAGTGCTGTCCCACAGAACTTTCTGTGATAATGGAAATGTTTTACATCTCTGCTATCCAATATGGTAGCCACTTGCCACATGTGACTTTTGAGCACCCAAAACGTGGCTAGTGGAACTGAAGAAATGAATGTTTCATTGTATTTAATTTTTTTTAAATTTTTTAATTTAATTTAATTTCTTATACA